CCTTACTCGAGGCCCCGGCTCTGGGTCTGCCAGATCTAACCAAGCCCTTTGAGCTGTTTGTGGATGAGAACTCAGGTTTTGCCAAAGGGGTACTGGTGCAAAGACTGGGACCTTGGAGGAGACCTGTAGCGTACTTGTCCAAGAAATTGGACCTGGTGGCTACAGGATGGCCATCATGCCTCCGCATGGTGGCAGCCATTGCCGTATTACTTAAGGATGCCGGGAAGCTGACTCTGGGACAGCCGTTGACTGTGCTGGCCTCCCATGCAGTGGAGGCCTTGGTCCGACAACCACCGGACAGATGGCTTTCTAACGCCAGAATGACTTACTATCAGGCCTTACTACTGGACTCAGATCGGGTAAATTTTGGGCCGACAGTTTCCCTTAACCCTGCTACCTTGCTGCCACTGCCTAACCCCTCTGAGGAGCATGACTGCCTCCAGATTCTAGCCGAAGCACATGGCACCCGCCCTGATCTGACAGATCAGCCGCTTAAGAATCCAGACGCTGTCTGGTACACAGATGGGAGCAGTTTCCTGGAGGAGGGGAAACGCAGAGCCGGGGCAGCTATAACCACCGAATCGGAAGTGGTATGGGCATCGTCACTCCCGCCCGGGACATCGGCCCAGCGCGCAGAACTGATTGCGCTCACCCAAGCTCTCCGGATGGCAGAAGGTAAGAAGCTCACAGTTTATACTGACAGCAGATATGCCTTCGCCACTGTGCATGTCCACGGGGAAATCTACAGACGGAGAGGCCTGCTGACGTCCGCGGGTAAGGAAATCAAAAACAAAAAAGAGATCCTAGACCTCCTAAAGGCTCCCGCTCCAACTCAGTATTGTCCACTGCCCAGGGCATCAAAAGGATGACTCTGCGGTAGCCAGAGGGAATCGGCTGGCGGATCTGACTGCCCGAACAGTGGCTTCCCAGCCAGCAGGGAGCAGCCAGTTGATGGCCATACAAGAACCACAGCCTGAGAGAGACCCCGTGCCCTATAGCCCAGAAGACCATGAGCTAGCAAAGAAAATGGGGGCGGACTGGGAACAAGGAAGACAAGCATATATACTAGGGGACCGGATGGTCATGCCAACCTCCCATACCCGATACATGCTGAGATTCCTCCATGCATTGACTCATTTGAGCAAAAACAAGATGAAGACCCTATTGGACAGAGAAAACACCTGGGCAGTGCTGCTGAACCAGGATCAGGTACTCCAGCAGGTAACTTCTACCTGCCCAGCCTGTGCTCAAGTCAACGCAGGAAAGGTTCATCTAAACAAGGGGGCCCGCCAAAGAGGCCATCGTCCTGGTGTTCACTGGGAAATAGACTTTACAGAAGTAAAACCCGGACTCTACGGGTACCGGTACCTCCTGGTCTTCGTGGACACTTTTTCCGGATGGATCGAGGCATTTCCAACCAAGAATGAGACGGCTAATGTGGCAACAAAGAAACTGTTGGAAGAAATCTTCCCCAGGTATGGGATGCCTCAAATATTGGGGTCAGATAACGGGCCTGCCTTCATCTCTCAGGTAAGTCAGAAGGTGGCCAAACTATTGGGGGTTGATTGGAAACTCCATTGTGCATACCACCCCCAGAGCTCAGGACAGGTAGAACGAGCTAATAGAACAATCAAGGAGACTTTAACCAAATTAACGCTTGCAACTGGCACTAGAGATTGGGTGCTCCTACTTCCCTTGGCTCTCTACCGAGCCCGAAATACTCCTGGCCCACACGGCCTAACCCCTTTTGAGATCATGTATGGGGCCCCACCTCCTGTTGTAGACTTCCTCCATCCTGATATTTCCTCCTTTGCTACCACCCCTACTTTAGAGGCACATCTTCAAGCCCTCCAACTGGTGCAGAGGGAGATCTGGAAGCCCCTGGCCAAGGCCTATCAGGAGCAGCTAGACAAGCCGGTGGTGCCCCACCCCTTCCAGATCGGGGACTCCGTTTGGGTCCGACGACACCAGACCAAGAATCTGGAACCACGGTGGAAGGGGCCCTACACTGTCTTGCTGACCACCCCCACTGCACTCAAGGTCGACGGGATTGCTGCATGGATCCACGCCTCTCATGTGAAGGCTGCCAGGGAACCTGACCCAGCAGAATTCAGAAAGTCAACATGGACAGTGCGCCGCACACGAAACCCCCTAAAAATAAGGTTGGCCCACGGCTCCTCTTTCTCCCCCTCCTCTTAATCTCTGCCTACCCCCAGGGGACTAGGGCGGCAGAGAGCCCGCACCTAGTTAAGAGGCTCACTTGGTAGGTTATCTCACAAACTGGGGAGACGGTCTGGCAAACGGCCGCCCTTCACACCCCCTTCACATGGTGGCCTAACTTGCATCCAGATCTCTGCCAACTAGTAGCAGGGTCAGAGGACTGGGACATCCCTACCACTGACCCCATGAACCCCAGAGCACCAGACGTCTGTCAGGATGGTAAGGGAACTTGCAAATGTAGTGACGGGAGATATGGATGTGGTCACCCTGAAACCAGAGCAGCCCTGTCACAACTATCCTTTTACGTCTGCCCCCGGGATGGTAGGGACAGAAAGATGATTAGACAATGTGGGGGTTATGAAAGTTACTTCTGTAAAGCATGGGGATGTGAAACAACTGGTAATACCTATTGGGAGCCTTCATCCACTTGGGACCTCATTAGGGTAAAAAGAACTACCCAAAGAGAAAGCCACTCATGGCGTCCTCTTACTCAAGGACGTTGTTGGGGAACTGTCACGTCAGGAAGAGATAACGCTTACTGGAAAGGGGGGGGGGGCCCTGTGTAAATTTCACCTGCAACTCCCTGAATATATCTTTTACTCAAAAGGGAAGGGAGATAACACAAGACTGGATTAAAGTTAAACATGGGGACTTAGACTTTACATGACGGGATGGGACCAGGGAGTCGTGTTTACGATTAGGCTTAAAATCACAGAGCCCTCCGCCTCTATAGGTCCCAACCAGGTTCTCTCTGACCAAAAGCGCCCCTCTTTACCCGCTCCGGCACCCCCGAGGGCTACCCCCCGACCCAATTCAGCCATTCGCCCAAGCACGGCTCCGAATGCTACTGTAACCCCAGTCACCCTCCAGCCACCCAGGCCCGGTACGGAGACCGGCTATTGAATCTTATAGAGGGCGCTTACTCAGCCCTCAATGTTACCAACCCAAATCAGACTCAGGAATGCTGGTTATGCCTAGTCTCCACACCTCCCTATTATGAGGGGGTGGCCGTAGTCGGAAGCTTCACCAATTCTTCTTCACCCCCGTCAGGATGTGCCTCGACACCTCAGCATAAGCTCACAATCTCTGAGGTGTCAGGACAAGGACTATGTCTGGGGATAGTACCCTACACCCACCAACACCTGTGTAATCGCACCCAGGCACTTGTTCCAGGACCCCACTATCTCGTGGCTCCCAACGGAACTTATTGGGCCTGTAGCACTGGACTTACACCATGCCTCTCCTCCTCAATACTAGCCAACACGGCCGATTATTGTGTGCTCATAGAACTGTACCCCAAGATAGTCTACCATGCACCTGAAGATATCTATGCCCGATATGAAACAGGGGTCCCCCGTATAAAAAGAGAGCCAGTCTCGCTAACCCTGGCTCTGATACTAGGTGGATTAACTATGGGAGGAGTCGCCGCCGGAATAGGCACAGGTACCACTGCCCTCATGGAAACCAACCAGTTCAGACAACTCCAGGTTGCCATGCATACCGATATCCAGGCACTGGAGGAATCCGTGAGTGCCTTGGAAAAGTCACTCACCTCCCTGTCTGAAGTAGTTCTGCAGAACCGGAGGGGATTAGACCTCCTCTTCCTGCAGGAGGGGGGGTTATGTGTCGCCCTTAAAGAAGAATGTTGCTTCTATGCGGATCATACTGGGGTGGTGAGAGATAGCATGGCTAGATTAAGAAAGAGATTAGAACAAAGACAAAAACTCTTTGAAAAACAGCAGGGATGGTTTGAAGGATGGTTCAGAAGGTCCCCCTGGCTCACCACCCTCATCTCCACCCTTATGGGACCCCTTCTGATTTTATTGCTCCTTCTGACGCTCGGGCCCTGTATCCTAAACAGACTTGTCCAATTTATCAGGGAACGCGTTTCTACTATTCAGACCGTGGTATTGACCCAACAATACCAACGACTCAACCAGGTGGAAATGGAGCCACATCCCTATTCTTCCCCATGAATGGAGGATTCCATTCCCTGAGATAAGAAAATGGGGGAATGAAGGGCCCCAGCATACTTGCTTAGCCTAACGCCATTTTTGAGCAAGGCCTGAAAAGTAACTAAAGGTCAGAAAAACAACTTGTACCCTGGATAAGAGCCAAGTCAGCAGGCGTGTCGAGCTGGGGGGGGGGGGGGGGGGAAACCACGAGCTGTCCTGAGTTTGAACCTGGCCTCATACGAATCATCCAATCAGAACCCTGTAAACTATGCTTCCTGCTTCTGTACCCGCCCTTCCGCTGCCCAACCCTATAAAAACCCTCCACTCCAGCCCCTGGGCGCGCCAGTCTCTTCAGCCTCTGGAGGGACTGTGTCGCCCCGGGTACCCGTGTTCCTGAATAAAGCCTCTTGCTGTTTGCATCTGACTTGTGGTCTCGGTGTGATCTCTGGGCGAGGGTCTCTCCAGAGGGAAGACTACCTACGGGGGTCTTTCACTTTGTCTCCTCAGACTTGGATTTTTCTTTCGGAAAACATATCATCAAAGATGAAACATCTCGAACCTTTGACAGGAGACTCTCCAAGAATCAGCCTCACACCACAAGCCAGGCTGGAGGGAGGTTTGCATTGCCAACCCCAAGCTTCTTCCGGGAGGACAGCGTTTTGTTTTTGTTTTGGTTTGGTTTGGGTTAGCTTCCCGCGCACGCGCGGTGGAGCCGCGGCGCTCAGGCCAGGCCCGCAGAGGCGTCCGGCGCTCGGAGGTCACGCGCCCGGGGCGGCGCGCGCGCCCGTCTGTCCCGTCGCCGCGGCGGCGGCGCGCACGCTCGGCCGACGCGGGGTCGGGAGCCACGGGGATCCCAGGGGACCGTGCATGGCGCGCGCAGGGCGACGCGGAGCCGGCTGGTGCTGGGCGCTGGCGCTGCTCGGGCTGGCGGCGGCTCTGGGCGCGTCCCCGACGTCGGGGCGCCGCTGGCCGGTGCCCTACAAGTGAGTGAGGCGGGGCGGGGAGCGGCGGGGACTTGGAGGGCGCACAGCCCATGACCCCGGCGTGCTTGGGGACGCGGGGCACAGGGCGACCCTGGGAGCGCGGTTCCTAGCTGGCTGGAAGCAGAGGGGTCCTCGCCGATTCAGGGCAGTCCCGAGTCCTGGGAGGAATGGAGAGTGAGGTTACTGCGCCGAGTGACTTTTAGGTACAACTAACTGACTCGGAGAGCAGGTTAAAACACATCTGACATCCTACATTTATTTCACGCTTTACCATTAGCTGTCTTTTGCATAACATTTGCAGAATTACAGGGAGGTCGCCCGCCCAGGTGTGCTCCGGGTTTCCCAATCTTACTGCTCTAAATTCCAAACCTGGGGCATCTCCTCCCTGGGACAATCAGGATCACCTCGTTGGTCCACTTCTACCTGAAGGTGCTGGCTCTGGACCTGAGAAGCTGTTTGGAGTCTTTGACCTAGCTAAGTTTTGACAGCGCGTGGGAGATTTCGAAACACCAGGGGCGGGGGTTTGGGGGTGGTGGTGGAGGGAGCCCGGTGTGGACATCACGAAGTGGAAGGAACCGCAGCGTTTGAAAACAAATGTTCCGCATAACAGCATGAGCTGAGAAGATGAGGGATGTGATGGTCTTCCAGGGAGCTCTTGGTTCTGAAGTCCCGCAGATCAGATCTGATTCGACCAGCTCATCCTCGGTGTGGTCTTAGGAAAATTACTCAGTATCTTCATGCTCACATGCCCTGAACAGAAAACAGGAAATGATAGTAGCACTATCATTGGCAGGATCATCTCTAGTGAAAACTAGCTGTTGCCAAACTTAAATATTTCTGTGTTTCGTTCATGAACTTCAGTGTAGTCCTGTGCATAGTACATAGATCCTCAGTAAAAATTAGTTGGTTTATTTTTAAATACGAAATTTTTATGATTCGATATTTAACACATCATTGGAAGTGTGTATATGAAAACAAGTAAAATGTCCATTTTTGTTTAGTCACAATGATCTAAGCTGTAGTTGGAGTTTTCTCCAGTCCTGCCTGGCCCACGGTCAGGACAAATCTCTCACCCGTCAGTCCCGCAGCTGCTCAGACTCAACCAAGTAAACACACAGAGACTTACATTGCTTACAAACTGTATGGCCATGGCAGGCTTCTTGCTGTCTAGTTCTTCTATCTTAAATTAACCCATTTCTATTAATCTATAAGTTGCCACATGGCTTGTGGCTTACCAGTATCATACATGTTGGTAACTCTGCCTTCCTTTTCCCAGAATTCTCTTCTCTGCTTGTCGTGCCTATACTTCCTGCCTGGCTACTACTGGCCAATCAGCATGTTATTTATACAGAGCGATATCCACAGCACTAAGCTTCAAATATTTTCCTTAAAAAATATTGCTGAGGACCGAGGAGATGGCCCAGTGTTCACAGCACAGTCCCCAGGGCGTGAGTCTGGATTCTCTGAACTCATGTAGAAACCAGCATGTCAGTGTATACCTGTGACCCTAACTTTATGGAGGAAAAGGCAGAGGAAGGCAGAGTTTTGAAGTTCATTGGCTAGCCAGTTTAGTGAGAGACCCTGTTTCAAAAAATAAAGGTGTAAAGCAATCAAGGAAAGGCACCTGTACCTGTATGTGTGTACATACTACATACCAGAGAGACAGAGAGGGAGAGAGACAGAGACAGACACAAAGAGAGAGCGAGAGCAAGCCCCGAAATGAAAACTGGGATTCTAAAGTGTGTTAGAAGAACAGTTCCTGTTATGATCTCATTTGATGCTTTTGATGGTTTTCTTTCTCCCTAGACGCTTCTCTTTCCGCCCGAAGCCAGATCCCTACTGTCAAGCTAAGTATACCTTCTGTCCTACTGGCTCACCTATCCCAGTTATGAAGGACAATGACATCATAGAAGTCTTAAGACTACAAGCCCCTGTTTGGGAATTTAAATATGGAGACCTCCTGGGACACTTTGTAAGAATGCATCTTGATCTTGTAACTTTGCTTAAAAGTAATTTAGTTATTCCTTTGATTTAAATGAGTCATCATATGGTTACTAGATCATATTTATTGGTACACTTTGTATGTATATGTGTGCTTGTGTGTGTGTGTGTGTGTGTGTGTGTGTGTGTGTATGTGTATGTGTGTAACTATTCACAAGCATGACATGGCTGAAGGAGCATGTTGGATGTCACTCTCCACATTACCCCCTTGGGACAGGGTCTCTCACTGAACCTGAAGTTTATGTTTTCGTCTGAACTACCTGGCCAGTGAGCTTGTCTCTCCCCTCAACCCTGGGGTAATAGACACAAGTGGAAATGCCTGGCTTTTAGGTGGGTGCTGGGGATTTGAACTCAGGTCTTCATGCTTGCATAGCAAGCACTCTTACCCATCTAGCCACCTCCCCAGCCCATGAAGACGACGCATCTTTAAGTTGGTGGTCAGAAGGAGTTACCATTGCGTCTGCATGGTGCTCCACACCTGCATTCCCAGCACTTGGAAGGTCCAAGCAAGAGAATTACTACTTCAGAGTCAATCTGGGCTACATGATCAGACTGTCTCAAAAAACAAAGGTTTCAGTGAGTAACAAGGGTACTGGCCTTAGTCTGTTTTGCTATGAAGGATTTTGTAATGGGCCCCCAGACCTTAGCACAACTGACACCATGTTAGAGACACCAAGATACCATTCTGACCTAAGAGCCCAGCACGTAGACCCCAACACCTGCCCAAAGAAAGACCCAATCTATCATAGTCCATAGTTCTGGGAAAGTCCCTAAATGTACAAACCTTGCTTTGTGGCTTCTGTAGCTCCGTTTATTGCTGACTGTTCTTGCAAATTAAAGCGTAAGAACCAGGATATGTTTTTGTGCAGAAAAGGCAAGATTGGTAAGGCTCATGGCTACACAAGTTGGGCAAGTTCCCTCTGTAGCCTTCTCGGCTGTGAATAAAGACTATTTCTATTGGCTTTAAGAGTCCAGTGTTCTCAGGAGGCGTTAAATGGCAACAATGTAAACTCTCCATCTGTACCCAGCTCCTGGGAATGAGAAGGGCAAGACAGGCGGGACTCACTTGGTGATCTCTAAGCTCTGCTGTGAGCCCTTTCCCAGCTCAGTCAGTCACCCTGTGAGGCAGGCGCACTCTCTCCTGGAACATTCACAACAGCTTTTCATGCTGACTGTAAGCTGTGAGAAAATTTTGAGTGTCTTCACATAGCTCACATCACTGGTAAAATGAGCCCTCGCTGGCTGCCAGAACCACAGTGGTGGGCGCCACAGTTTGAGGGACTGTGGTGTCACCACAAGGATAGTGACACAAAAGTGGAGCCAGCCCCTTGAGCAGTTCTACTTGGCGTGCGTTTGTGGTGTACCAAACTCGCTCCCGGCAGGCGGAATCGGCCCACGGTTGCTTCACAGACGCTTTTACACCTGTGTTATCTCTACACAGAAAATTATGCATGATGCCATCGGCTTCAGGAACACGCTGACAGGCAAGAACTACACAATAGAATGGTATGAGCTTTTTCAGCTTGGCAACTGTACCTTTCCTCACCTTCGACCCGAAATGGATGCTCCGTTCTGGTGTAACCAAGGAGCGGCCTGCTTTTTTGAAGGAATTGATGATCAACACTGGAAGGAAAATGGGACATTAGCTGTAGTCGCGACCATGTCTGGTAAGTTTCAGAAATGAAGTACTGTTTGATGATTCCATCAATAGGCAAGTGGAAGATTTCATTCACTCGCTGAATTTCAGTCACGTTCTGCCTCATGGTGATCATTTGTAGTCTAAGCTTCTGGTACCATTATACCTTGAACCAGATGGATCCTGATGCTAAGCCTTGCTAGGAGATGCAGAGCTCATCTTCTGCTCTGTCCATGATAAACATGAATGAAACAAATGCTGTGTACAGCTAAATTGAAATCCAAATAAACCACAGATTCAGGATCCATAAAAGGCCCCATTAGGAAGGCCCATTAACTATATCTTAAAAAAAGTGGTGGCTATAAATTATTTTTAGGTGGAGAAATATTAAGGGTTTGCTTCTTCTGGGTCTGACCCTGTTCTGAATGCTATACTTAGAGCACGCCCCTTACCAGCATCACAGATGCTGAGATCATTACTATTTTCTCCATTGTGCAGATGGGGAAACTGAGATACAGATTAAAGCTATCCAGGAAATAATAGGACTCCATCCCCAATAAGAAAGCCCTACAGGCCATTCTCTTAACAATTTTGGTACACTGCCTCCCCAGAAATATATGTTCCAATACATTTCAACCCTGTTGTTTAAGTGTTCATCTGGAAAATTGACAACACAATTGTAATTTTGCATTCTCTGCATTCTGCATTGATTCTTTTATCATGGGAACTTTTTTTGTCAGTCGCTAATTATGTGACCTTGGGTAACATTTACCTTACTGGCCCATTGCCTCTTGTGGAGAATTCAGGGCCTGCTCATACTATGTGTAAACCCTACTTTCTGCATGGTAGTTGTCCACAAAAGCAGAGTGCTGAAATGAACGAGTTATTTGTGATGCTAATTAGCCTTCTATTTGTTAGTTTGTACACAACATGTATTAACTTAAAATGTGTTAACTCCTAATCCAGTGGAGGAGGGTAAGACCTCCCTTGGTTTTCACAGGTAAGGAACTGTTGTTACAGGTTGAGTTTAGCCAGTGACGTTGACTGACACTTGTAGTCACAGAGCTGGATGGAACAGGCCACGTCTACAGTTGAGGTCTTCTAAATGAACCTGCAGTCTTTTAACAAACACCGCTTTTCTAATCTTTCCTTCTGCTTTCTAAAGCAAGGGACCCCAATATCCCCACTATGAAAGCCTTCTCTTTCAGCAATACTCAGTGAGATTTACATCCCAAGCCGGTTCCCACCTTCCTCTCTCCTCACATAAGCTGACAATCATATGAAACAGTGATCGCTCATCTGTAAAATGCTTCCATTTGCTAGAATTTTAAGCTTGTCAATTCATTCTTCATCTTGCCTATGATTAATGCTGTCCCAGGATCTTTTCTGGATGTTATGACAAAGTGTTTGCAAGTCTAGATTTTCCAAGTTGCTTACTAAGAACCATGCCTTCAATTCTAAGGTGGATGTTATAACATTGTAGCTTTATTTCCCTAAAAGTAGAAAAGGCACCCAGTGATTCCCTTGACAGACTTGCTGTTTATATCATGAACCTAGGCTAGTGTTACCCAGGAAAGGTTTGCTGGTAGTGAGATTTGGGGGCCTACATCTGTCGTGTCTCAATGTGCCCAGATGAGGGTTGTACCGTGCAGAAGAGCAGCATTCTCTAAGTATTTGGAGATTCTTCTGATCTGGTGCAAGATGGAGTAGAAGGCTTAGCCACCCAGGAGTCTGTGAAGTCAGTGAATCTCGCAGTCAGTGGCCAGTTTGGTTGACTGGTTAATTTGTGTGGTAGGTAGTCAGCGGTATCCCAGCAACCACAATACAGGGAGAAAAGGGAATAGCTGGTATTCACATAGCTGAGAGGCCACATGTAGCTTAGGCAGGAGCTGCTGCACCTCAGCAGCCATGCCTACTGAGCATCCCATGCTATTTGCCAGTTCATCTGTTTGTCCTCTCCTTACACCGTCTTAGTCTTTCACCTTTCCCTCTTCCAGTTCTTGCCTCCCTTTTCTTGTTTGCTTCTGAATCCAAGACTTGCTGAAAACAGAAACATGGCTACTGCCTATGCGTATTCATACTCTTGACTGTCACTGTGACCACAGCTTAACCGTAGAATTTGAAGAGTTCTATTTATACCCCCATCATGTCTTCTATTTACAATTCAAAGGCCTTGAAGAATGGAAGGAAATGTGGCTAAGCTTGCGTTCCTGCTGTGGGACCCAGGTTTTGAAGTTTTACAGTATTTCTTGTTCATTCATCCTGATCTTAATTGGGTCTCAGAACATTTTATAAGCAGTTGATTTTGTTGCTTTTCTTAAACTAGGAAACACATTTAACAAACTGGCAGAGTGGGTGAAGCAGGACAATGAAACAGGGATTTATTATGAGACGTGGACGGTCCAGGCCAGCCCAGGAAAAGGGGTGGAGACATGGTTTGAATCCTACGACTGTTCGAAATTTGTGTTAAGGACATATGAGAAATTGGCTGAATTTGGAGCAGAATTCAAGAAGATAGAAACAAACTATACAAGAGTATTTCTTTACAGTGGAGAACCTACTTACTTGGGAAATGAAACTTCTATTTTTGGGCCAAAAGGAAACAAGACTCTTGCTTCAGTCATAAAAAAATTTTATGACCCCTTCAAACCACGTTTGTCAACCAAAGAATTTCTGTTGAGTCTCTTGAAAGTTTTTGATTCAGTGATTATGCACAGAGAGTTCTACCTGTTTTATAACTTTGAATATTGGTTCCTACCTATGAAATTCCCCTTTGTCAAAATAACATATGAGGAAATCCCTTTACCTACCAGACACACACTCCCTGACTTGTGACACGTTCACTCCACTGCTCTCTCCAGCCACCCGCACCCATTTTCTTCCAGGGCTGTTTTCACACTTGTGTCTTTTTCCACTTTTCCTCCTTGGGGCAGGAGGGTGACGTGCTCCTTGTTGGAAGTACAGTACACTGACATTTCAAGACTCCTGGAAAGAAGTGGAAACCATCATGGTAGTGGCCAAAGTGAATGCGCTGAGATCTCGATCTTGTGGAGAATTGGTTGATCTCAGCTATGGAGGTCTTTGATCCCAATGCTGACATTTCTGTGGCTACCTTTTCTGGTACAGTAGTGCTGTTTCTTAGTTGAAGGGCTTTTTGGTTATCTAAAGAATAGTTATTTTTATAGTTATTACAACTTTGGGGTCCAGGTCTAGCCAACTACTTTCTATTCACATAACCTTAAAGACTTGTTTGGACTCCACTGCTGGAGCAGTGCCTCTGGACATGGTAAATACAGTATTAAAGAGCAGATTTTCTGGCCACCAATTTAGAATTGGCTAGCAACTAGCTGGCCGCTGGCCATTGTGACATAAGCAACTTAAAACCTGTAGATTTGTGTCTTTGCCTCTAAAATGATTCATCTTCCAGGAATGTGGAGATTGAGGGCACCTATGTTGGCACAGGAAGGGCACACTGAATGCATATAAGGTCTCTGAGGACTGTTGGGATTAAAAAAGCACAAGCTGTCATGATCTTGCCTGCTGTAGATTACAGGCTATCAGTTCCTGTGTCTTGGAATCACTGAGACTTTGAGCTGACAGTACATAGTGCTTCAGTTTTTCAGTACAGGTCATCGGAGTATCTGGCTGCAGACATGGCTGGGTGAAATGTACTTCTGGCTTCCTGTGTGTGCCCTCTGGTTCTTCACCCACTAACAAAGGCTAGCACAGTAGAAGAGGGTACACTTTCCTGGAAAGGATAGGATTTTGTCGAGGACCTTCAATTCACTATGCTTGTATTAGGGGCATTAGACAAGCTCTTAAGGTCCTGTATTTATCAGCCGAACCCATTTTTTTCTTTTGTTCTTTTCCCCATTCATAAAATCACACTAGCACAATGGAAAAAAGTCTATTTAATATGCAAATGTTATTCAATTTCACCTTATATTTAGTGCTTCATGAGAGGTCAATACACTGTTGAGCTGTCATAAAAAGCCTCATCATACATATCTGCTGGCCCAGATGTGTTAAGTCAGGGCTTAGCAATGTTAAGTGACCTGGAATTGTTTTTACTCAGGTTATGCAAAATGATTCACTGGCTGCTTTTCAGCAGTATTCAGATTGTGGCCTTTAGACCAGTATCTGTGCACCAAATGTTACCAGTCTGTTATTTCTGTTCAGTCTAATAAAAACAAAAGACAAAAAAACCAGGGCTTGAACTTTGTATCTTTGATCTTATTGGTCTAGGAATTTACTTTTTGTTGTTTAAAAGTATAAGCCCGGCAAAGTCAGAGTGACCCCAGATCATCATGCATTGCACTGTTCTGCCTACCACAAAGAGGTAACTTGTCCTCATATACAGAGGGAACTGCTTTCCACTGCCTCCAGTTTATCTACTCACTGTTACAGTGCCAAAGCCAACTCAAAAATGTTGCCTCTTTGACTTGATTATCTTCAGAATGTGGTGTAAGAACCTTCACATTACTAAGTAGTAATCTTCACATTACTACCATCCAGTGGCTAAACTCAGGCAACACTACACCACATCGAGTTACTCCCAGCTGCCCTGAGGTGACAAGCAAAGATTCTTGTACGCAGTATGGCATTTTAAATCACAGACTTTGGTTTGTAGCACAGGGGGAAGGGGACATGCACATGGAACTTGACTTCTAAAACAAGGTTCTACTGTGTTAAAAAAAAAAAAAAAAAAGGCATTCTGGGTCTTTGTGGAGATTAGTAAATGAAGAAAAGCCCGTGAAAGTACGATAGAGTGAGGTGGCAATGGCAGAGAGGCGTAATTCACGTGATCTCCCAAGAGTTTATCAAGCTGTGAAATGTATTTGTAAAGTGAAAGACAACTTTGAGGTAGAGATGACTCAGAACATTCTTTGAAATAGTAGTTATCAAAATGATATAGGGAAAATGGAATGTCTGATTTTGAAGGTGGCTTTCTGATTTGCTTCAGGTGGGCTTTAAAACTGCAGGGCCTGAAGCTCATGGTCACAGAAAATCTCTACTGAGTTAGTGGCCTCTGGGTTCTTGTATATAAACCCAAATGCAATTCATAGGCAACAAGAGGATGAGTTTAGAAAGCAGTTTTATTATAGATTGATAGGTGGGAGCTTAAAAGGAGGCAGAGTTCCTGTGTAGCAGGGTAGATGCTGGGAAATGGGATTACATGGAACTGCTGCTAGTCTAAGCTTTTTATTCTAATTGCAGCAGAAACTGGAGGGTGGGGAAGGGAGGAACCAGACAGTTGGCTCAACCATGACATGGTCCAGGCATGCTCATTAAGGAGAGATGGGCCTCTCTTCTCCTATCCCTAGCTTTGGCAAAGTCAGAATTGTGCAGCAGGCCAATGACATTTTCAGATTTTAAGCCAAGGAAAGCATTTACTTTTGGGGTCTCCTAAACTGCCTGGCCAGTTTCTTTCTCGACTGCTCTCATCAAAACTATGAATTGAATTTTATGACCATTTGAGTTATATGTTTCTATTTCTATGTCAGTTCAAGTTACAAATCTGTAGTATTTCAAGAGAATATGTTAAAGGTTAAATATTAGGGATTCAGAATAAATATATCCTCAGCCATAATCTAACATATTAACAGGTAAGTATCTATTGTTGCAGACAGAAGAAAACAGCTAAAACGTGAAATAACTACTATCAGCACTCAGAACTTCTACTCAATAATGGTTCCTTAGAAAAATCAGAAGGAAAAAGTGACAAGTCTCTAATATCTGGGTCAAAGTGCTGAGAGTTATTTATCAGTTTAGTGCTCAGTAAGCTTCATGGGCAGGACATGGCTACTGCATTCACGAATTCACAACACCTGTATTTATCTGCCCTAGATGAGGTGGTAAACATTCCATCATGGATGGGGATGGAGCTCAGGAGGCTACACCCCTTTCTCATAAACTACTGGCAGTTTGCTGGGCAATACGAGTAATTTTTTCCAGTGGTATTGCCACTAATTAGCTGCCCATGCTTCAGTAACCCCCATCCTGCTCATGCATGCATCTCTAATTTAAACTCAGTGGGTCCCAAGAAAAAAAGACATGAAAGTAGAAGAAAAACTTGTTGGGGAGAAGGTTCAGCAAGAGTGGAAGACAGAGTAACCAGGAATGAAAAAGACCAAAATACATTACATATATAGAGGAAATTGTTTAAGAATAAAAATACATTCTTTAGTTTCTCTAAGGTGAAAGTGTGTTTGCTGGTGGTACTGAGTTGAACCTAGGCTCTCACACATAGAAGTGAAGTGTACTACCACTGAGCTATTACATCTTTACAGCCTCCTTTAACTTTCTGAGGTGAGGTCTAAGTTGCCAGGCTGGCCTTTCACTGGAAATGTGAGTGGGCCTTGAACTGCAATCCTCTGGCTTAGCCTTCTAATAGCTTAAAGGTCTGTTGCACCACACCCAGCCAACTTTTTTTTAAACAAACACACTTTTATTCACCAGGTAGCTTCTTGCTGTTCCAAGTGCTTTCAAGAGTTTCTTCCCTGTTAAAACACTTTTAGGTATTTATACTTTGGGGGCTGATTATTAATTTCAGGAATAAGCTTTCAGGCTCTGAGAAATGTTTTCTTAAAGGAGTCTGTGGCCAGCAGACAGGTAGGGCTTTTCTTCTTAATATTAAAACTGGTCTCAAATATAAACAGGTTTTGCACAAATAGGTTGCATTAACTTATTTACTGTTTATCAGGGCCTATTTTTAAGATTTTTTAAAAAAATATATTTAAATAGGTTAGATTACCATACCAAATTGAACCTGTTTTCTGAAACCTACTGAAGATAGTAGATTAAAATAATTTCTATGGTTTAAAAACTATTCTGACTTACATGGATTTCTAATATGGTTGGCTAGGTTAATGGAAACTCTCTAAAAACATTTATTCTTATGTTTTAATCATGTGTGGGTGTCTGGGAGTGTGTATGCCTAAGTGAATGCAGGTGCCCATGAGGCCAGAGCCATCGGACCTCCAGGAACTAGATGGGGTGCTGAAACTGCCAAGAGTATTCACCAGCTTTCAGCCACTGAGCCATCTCCTGGACCCCGAGAGTCACATTTCTAAGTAGAGTGTAGCTTTCATTCTGAATACATGAAGAACCTAGTCCCTATTTTTAATCAGGAATCATTTTCATGGTAAATTTCATAGTTATTAGAGCAAAAAACAAATTCAATGTGCCTAATTTTGTCTCTTCATACGAGCCAGTCTACCATTGTGTTTACTTATCAAATAATAGATGTGAAGCTATAATCATACTTTGTAATGTATGTTTGATTGGTTTTTTTAAAGTTATAAAAATACAACAGCATTAGTAACTATCTTTATTCTCAGATTGATAAAACCTTTAACATGTATTTTACAGTATAAACAAATTAAGTGCTATGCATTTTGCTTATAAAGTGACTTAAAGTATTCAAGCATGTAATTCAATTTGTACAAAAAGTACATTTTCAAATAAAGCTTTGGTTAGTAAAACTGATTATACACTGTCAAATCCATTTTCCAAAGTTGTTAAAAATAAAGTAAAATAAAAAAACATCTAGCACAAGTATTTCCTGTATAGCCAGTTTCTTACTATTTAGTAAGAGGGAAATGTTCTAATAGTTGCTTTTAATGTTGCGCTCTGGTCAGTCTTTTTCTTTTCATCTATATGTGCCTGAAAGAATACCATCACTTTTGAAAAGCATAAATTGTATAGAAAGCCACATTCTGTTTTATTCTCAGGAAGTTCATCTGTTTTTAAGACTGTTAGCTTCCACAACTATCAGGGTACTTTCTAGAAGTCACACTACTCAAGAGAACCATTTCAGGCACTGCAGTACTCTGCTGAGGTAAGTCACTTCTCACTTCTCTCAGGAGACATGTGCCCATAATCCAAGCTCATACAGTATCTGAAAAAAAACTATATATAACCAAAACTTAGTACTTTTTACACTCTACCAAGTCTAGAATTTACCTTTACTCATATGAAAGTAATATGAAAAGCTACATAACTTAAATAATATAAAATACCAGTTTCAACCAAATTAACAATCACAATACTGCAGATATTTTTCTATTAAAATGTTCCAGTTCACTGAGTAATATTTACTCAAAAATTATGAACTTTTATATATATATATATATTCTTTTAAATTTAGTGTTTCTGAACTGTACAGATACTCCTTTTGATTTTAACATTGTATTTATTGTAGCTATGTAATTCCAAAATTAAAGCATAAGCTATCACTAAAATTCACTGTAAATTAATATTCTTTCATGAAAACTGTTCATAAACAATTTATAAAGTTCTACTTTTAATTATTTCAATTTGGTTTTTAAGTAGGATTTTCATTTAAATTGTGTTAATAGTTAAAACTAGTTTAAACAAAGATTTTTAAAAAAGGAGATTAAAGCATTCCTTTACATACAATGCCTCAGGCACCACAAACATTAGTAATATAACAGAAAAGAACTCACATGGTTTAGCATATTACACAGAAAACCTAAGGTTCATACAAAGCTAAATACTACCTCTCTTCTATTCCACTGGTTCATTTAGTTGATCCTGGCTGTGTGCCATCCTTAATAACCACTGCAACATTTATCAGTGTTCTAAGAACTCTGATATTTATATCTTAATTTTCAAAACAGCTTCATAACATCTGAAAACATTCAACCAACTTCTTATGAGCTATATCATACATTTCTCTCACAAAATGCTCACTTTCCTGAGCTATAGTAAACACCTTATAACAGGTGTATTTATAACTGAAGACCCTAAAATGTCAAGTTTACATTTTTTAAAAAAATGCATAGAGAACATTTCAGAAAACCTATTAGTATATTTCTTAGATATTACAATATACAGATTGTTTCCTTCAGACTATGAACAATCTCATTTTCAGAACTGGATATTACTTTCAAATATGAAACATTTTCTTTTAATTTTTAAACATTTGATTGCGATTAGGCTACAAAAAGGAGTTACCTGACCCAAACTGTAGGTCTTCCAACAAACATTCATTATAGGCTCAAAGATACCAAATTTCTGTGCCACAAAATAGTAGAAATTACGTCAGAACTAGAGCAAATAAACTTTTATTATAGTACATTTCCTTAAAATTAAGGTGCTGTTTATTCACCATGCCCTGTATCATGCAATCCTTACCAAGTAGGCATCATGTCTGGAAACCAGACCCTGCCAAGATGCTTAGACACTTCCCAGTGAATCTGCTCCAAACTATACTTTTGGTCAGGAATTAACACTTCCTCCATAATGGATAACTGAGAGAGGCGGCCCCCACACATCTTCACAAACTCAACAAAGGCACTACACGAGACTTCACATTCCCCCAGCCCAATAGCTGACAAATTTTTACAACGTTCTGCAATGCGAATTAACTCTTCATCAAGGGGCCGTAACCCATTGGCACAGACTACCAGTTCTACTAGTCTTGGGCAGGTCATGCCCACACGGCCAAGCACATCTTTGCTTACTGATCTCCCAAAGTAAAGATGAGTGGCAGGTATTTCATAACGAAAGAATGGGTCAAATTCTTCTTCGTATAAAAAAAAATACATCACTAAGTTCACTTTGGGCGAGTGTTTGATGAAGGCATCCCAGCTGCTCTTCTGAATGGTATGAAAATGCGTCTGTCCTGGGTTCTCACTGACAACATCAATGCGCAAATGTTCTAGGCGAACGTGCTTTTCAGAAGACAGTGCAAGCAACAACTCATCACTTAGCAAATGGTAGTTCAGGGCCAGTTCTCGTAAGCCATGACACTGGTCAGCCACACAAAGAATACCTTGGAAGAAAAAAAAGCCCAATTATTTATATGTTTCTGTACAATTTATCTGTTCAAGTGTATATCTAAAATAGCCGTATTTCACTTTTCACCAATTAATGAAATTTTAAAATTTTAGTTGTGATAATGAATTAGAAGACAAGTTACTTACTCGTATTGTTTATAATATGAAACCAATTCTGTATCTTTGTTGCTCATTTATAACTTAGGAAAGCTGTAATTGTCATTTAAAAACTATGCCATAACTAAGTAAGATTTAACCTAGCAATGGACTGTGTCTTTTTTTGGTTTGTTCCTTACCCAGAACTCAATATGCAGCCAAGGTTGGCTTCAAACTCAAAGTCCTTTGGAGTGCAAGCTGCCATAGTGTAAAAAAAAAAAAAACCATAACACTAAACTTACAGTAAGAAAAATTCCACACTCAACTGCAACAGAGACTAAAGGATAGTATTCCAAATTAAAAATGTAATCCTAATATAAACAGAATACTTACAAAGTAAGAAAAATTCCATTAAATGGTTATAGTTTAACTACTAACAGTACTAATAAGTATGTCAAATTTCTAGGAAATATGAAACTATCACTCTTAAATGAGTCAAAAGTAACCATGTTAACGAAAATGTTATGAGCTCTGACCTATAAGGAAAACAATTTCTTAAACAGTTCCCATACTCCAGACATATTCACCTAAACTATTATCCTAGCAACAGATGATTTTACCAAAGATCAATATTTGATCTCCAAAGTGAATTTATAGAAGTCTGCCCCAAAACGTCACTCTAAACTAGTCAACAAACAGCCCATTCAATCCAGTTCTTATGTTTAAAAACAGGTAGGACTAACAACACACACACATTTTCATTACTATTTATTTCACATGTTATGGGAGGTACTAATTATGTTTACCTACAAATATTCAAAATCTAAGGAACTAAACAGTATTTCTAGTTCCAAGTAGAGATAACTAGCTAAAGACAACAAAGCTAGAATGCAAAAACAGACTGCAAGTTCATGCACTTAACTACTGCTTAAGAAATCTAGTCAGGCCCATCAATGAAGTACAACTTTACAGCACTGGATGAAAATGGGGCAATATAATCAGAAAAGGGACAAAGTGACCCACCAAAATAAGACTCAGCACAAGGGGGAGTAAGAGACCTCTTGGTGTCCCTACTTAGTCACTGCAAATTTCTGTTCTAGGATACACTTACTTTGAAGTATGCCCTAGCCACTCCAGACAACCCAACTACGTCTCTGCAACATCAAAAAGCCCAATACAAAGAGAAAACATTCAGAAAACTGCAAAAATGCAAACAAGAGAAACTACTACAGCAGCTGCCACAGTCATAACTCTCAAAACGCCCTTTCCCCTCAAAAATCCACTCCCTCACCTGTGGATCTGGCAAGTGATACCCTGCCTATCATTGTATTGTGCTAGATGATACAACTGGCCTTATGAACTAAATTATATAGATAGTCCTAATCTAATCATGAGCTCTTCTAGAGGCAGTTCACTCTTGGCTAGATACAGAAAAGGAAGTTAAAGAGTCAGAGCACAAATGGGACTCAAAATGTTAACTGCTAGCTTTAAGACAAGCAAGTTTTAGATATTCATGTTAATATTAAATGATTTTTATACATAAACAAGTAAAAATAATAGTGACCATCCACTACTACACAAAACAGTGAGTGAGAAAAGGAGAGGTCAGCTCAACAACCTCAAAAACACAAACTCACCCACAATATGAGAGTAACTGCAAGTGGATTTTTTCCCTGGAGCTTCCAGATCAAAAGTCCAGCCTGATAGACACTGACTTTGGCCGATGACCCTAAGCACAGAAGCCATCTGAGACCTGCCTACAACTCTGCCTTACAAAATTGTGGAACTGATAGGCAGGTATTAGTATAAGCTATTGCATATGTAATTGGCTGTGCAGCCAGAGACAACTAATGCACCACTTATGGACATTTAAATACATAACAGCATGATGACAAACACAAGTCAATAATAAAAAGACAATTTCAAAAATAAGCAAAGCAAAAACCCAAATAGACATTTTTTCCAAGAAGATATACAAATGGCCACTAAGCACATGAAAAAAACTCCTCAAATAGCAGGGCATGGTAGCACATGCTTTAATTCCAGCACTCAGGGAGCAGTGGGAGGTTCATCTCTGAGAGTTCAAGGTTAGCCTAATCTACATATTGACTTCTAGGCCAGCCAAGAAATCTCAGCCAACTGAAAACCTGTCCAAAACAACAACAAAATTATCAAGAAAATGCATCTAGGCATTATAGTTCATGCATGTAATCCTGGGAATTAGGAAGCTGAGGCAGGAGGATCACCATGAGTTGAAAGCTAACCTGGGTTATATAGTGTTTCCAAGAGTGAGAGAGGCCCTGAAAGGGTAGCAGCAGGGATGGGATGGGATGTGTGTGTGTGTGCAAATCAAAACCACAATGATACTAGTACATACCAACTAGGATGGGTATAATAAAAAAGATAAAAAGCATTAGTAAAGATGTACAAAAGAAATGTACAATGGCAATTCTCTACCTTCATCCTGTATTTTGGGTTTCATCATTTTTGCTCTGGAAAATCCTCCCTAACATCTTTGGAACTCCCAGAGTACATCTTTGTCTAATGATTTGCCACCTCTTGTTGCTCTAGTAACCTAACTATCCTAGAACCAGTGTTTGACATGTAGGACAGTTCCTCAAGTAGATAATAGCTACTACATGACTGGGCAACCCTGTTACTAGCTATACACCAAGAGAACCAACATGACCACACAAAGTATGTGAATTTTCATATAAGCAGTATCTGTTTTACTCAAAAGGTAGACAACAACCCAAATTATCCACCAACTGAACAACAATAAATGTGCCATAAACATATAATGGATACTATATAATGGATACATATAATGGATACTACATAGCAACAATAAGGAATAATATTTTAATTGATTACACAATACAAACAAGCTTGAAAACATGCTAAGTAACAGAAACCAGGCAGACAGACACAGATACACAGATAGACAGACAGACAGACACACACACACACACACACACACACACACACACACGAGATACAATTCCATGTATAGGAAATTTGTATAGACAAATTGCAGAAAAAGAAAATGCAATAGGGTGTGATAGCCATGCCTCTTTTTGGTCATAATGATAGTGTTCTAAGATTCATAGTGATGATGATGTATACACTACTCAGTCAGCACACTAAAGGTCAATTTATTTTACATGAATTATAAATTATATGGTTCATAAATCCTTTTTCAATAAAAGTTTTACAATGATGATCTATTGATAAGTAGGTTAAACAATTTTTAAAGAATTTTTCACAAGGCACAGTGTACTGACTACACTGGAAGGTCAAACCAAAGAACTCCAGCTCCTTAGTGCTCACAGCTCATAGGACATGTGAGTGATGAACCAACAAGATAGGTGGAGGCCAGGATACAGAGGACCTTGAACACTATAAAGCTATAGGAGACTGATCTCAGCCTCACAACAGATAATAAAATGTGACCAAGGTCACTAGAAAACAGCTGCCAAAGGCTGCTAGGCCCTCCTCAGTTTCTATTTTGTAATGCTTTCAGTGGTTATCTAGAAGAGGCTGAGACAACTAGGTAAATACAACAGGGGGCCAGCTATTCCTAGCACCAAGACCCTCCTTGTAGGTGATCTTGGAGAACAAAGTGTTCTCCATTCAACAGTGAGTCATTTCTTTGGGGGAATCCCAATCCTTTGTTATGGAAAGAAAGTAAAACAAACACAAACACACACAGAAAGACTTTACTCAACAACACAGCTAAAGACAGGGCGGGATTTCAAAAGTAGGAGGAGTCAGCAATGAAGTGTCAGCAAGTATGAAAATCATGTTTGCACCTACTTTTCAGTACAAATCACTTTCATTTAAATAATTCTACATAAAAGTAGTTGGAAAGACCTTTTATAATGTTATTTCTAAATTTAAGTTTTAAAGAGCATTCTCTCAAAAAGGCAATCAGACTTCCACACACCTCTTCCTCTCTAATACTGAGAATTATGTGACTGTTCTGACCCAAACACCTGGAGCTCAGTTACAGTTAGCAACAAGCAGACCTTAGAGTGTTGCCTTGTGGTTTGAATATGAAATGTCCCTCATAAACTCATATTGGAACATTTGGTCCCCAGCTGTTAGTGCTGGTTTGGAAGGCTATGGAACTTTCAGGATTTGTAAATTTCTGGTTGGCAGAAATAAGCCACTGGGGTAAGGCCTGAGGTTTTAACAGATGGGCCCCATTTCACCTATGCCTCCAAACTGCAGACGATGCAATGAGACCAGCTACCTCCTGCTCCTGTACCTTCCTCACCACACTCACCAGCACCCTCAAACTGGGAGCCAAATTAAGACTCTTCGTTCATCCTTAAGCCACTTTTATCAGATATTCTGCCCCAGCAATGAGTATCTAATAAACTCTCCCTTATTTTATTTATCCACTTTCAAGCACACAGTATACTCAATTTGCTACATAAAATGATTAGAATATAGGATGCAAGTCAGTCTAAGCTAGATTACTGCAGCTATCCTATTGTTATTAGGACTCTGAATATTTTTATGTGGAAGAAGATCCGGTTTGTTAATTCATTTACAAGTTCATTGACAGAATTACTAAACAACCATTTTTAATTTGAAAAACAACATAGTTTACTACAATCTGTCTGGTAAAGACATGACATACCTGCTGGAGAGACATGAGGACAGCTGCTCATTTTCAGCAGCTTGAGTGTGTCACTGTTGTTGGCCACTAGCACTTTAAGGGACGGGTCATCTACTGGGGTGTCATCTATCTTAAGTGAGGACAGGGATTTGGAGTTTACAAACACAACTGTCAGTGCAGAGATAAAGTGAGACTGAAAGACAAAAGATGAAAACACTGTTTCAGTTCTTCAGAAACGACATCTTACAAGGTTTCCTTACCAAACGGCAGGTAGGTAGAGCTCTCTGCACCCTACTAAGGAATTTCAAAACTGTTCAAAGGCAGCACCCCGCACCAAGTTACCAAGTACAGTCAAAGAGGGGACTGATTTCCAACTCTGAGAAAAGCCTTTTGTACCTGTGGAAGAAAATGTCACTTCAAGCCTCAGAATATTTCTAAATCCCAGCATCCTCAGTGAGACCAAAGAGGAAGCTTGGGCCCTGACTGAGTCTCTCAAGCATCCCCACCCCTGGGAGCTAATGTCTGCATACTGCACTACACAGGAAAGAGCACAAACACAGAACCTAGCGTCACACCATCAGGACTGACGTCAATCAACGCAAGGTTGTAACTCAACTGAACCAATTTTAAAACAACCAGAGTAACTGAAAAATCCCAAATTTCTAACTCCTCTCAAAACGTATCTAAAGATTCTCAAGACTTGATTTACTTATAAACATTACAGGTATCTTTTAACTTCTTATATACATCAATCTATTGAACAGATCTATCTGATCAAAAGGAATTCTTATGGAAACAAGAATTACAGCACATTTAAAATTCATGACTTTGAATCAGAGCTGAGATAAGCTATAATCAATGGGCAAATCATTTGGGAGAAGAAAGAGAACAATACACGCTTCCACACGTGTCCAGAGAACCAACTTCACCTGAGCCCACCTGTGTAAGTTCTCCACAGCACTGTCAGAGGACGAAGTCACGCTAACAGACAATGAAGTACAAGGAAGTACCACCTCCTTGGTCACAATCCTTAACTTGCTTTTTCCTTCCTGTGTCTAAACTGATTTCTGAAATTTTGATTAAAAAACCTATGCATTAACATCACAGTATCTTCACATCAAACTCAACTACATCGTCCATGATCGCAGTTCTTTATTAGTAAGCCCATGACCACAGGCTAACTTCTTTCCTCACTGTCCTGATTTAGCTATGGTCACACACATTTCTTTTATTTTCTCTTCTGTTCAGGATAGCCAAAATATAGGAACATCTTATTTCAATCTTTTCTTAAAAAAAAAAAAGGAAGGAAGAAAGAAAAGAAAAGAAAAAGCAAAAGGGGCAATAAGCATCTGAGGCAGTTCCAGCTACATCAACATTTCTTAAATTAGCACTACAAACATGAAAACTGAGAGCCACAGATGATAAAAAAAATCAAATTATATTCAAAATGCTTCATAATATGGTTTATTCTATATATACTGTATCTTAAAAATACATTAAAGTAGGTACATAAAATATCAACTCAGAGCATCTCCTTCCCCATGAGGCTTGAAGAAGATGGCATTACACTGTAACTCATTTCTTAACCAAGGCCCTTGGGCAGCCTCTGGACTGTCTGCAGAAGACTTGGCTTCAACCAAATTTAGAACAGGAGTAAAAGTCCAAAATCTGTGCACAGCTAGAGCCAAATCCCCAAGACTTGACTCTGGTACTTAAAAGTCTTAAATGTTAAACAGATTCTCTGCTCCATCTTCCTTCTTTATTCATGAGAAAGCAATCTATCTCAAAATGTACGTAATTAATGAAACTTAAATCAAATAGAGGTTTTGAAACCACAGTATTTCATTTGGTTCTGCTACTCAATTAGATCAATCACCTACTGGTTATAATTCACATTGAATATTCCTTCCAGAATCACTCTAGTAAAATGAACTGTGAGGTGAGTCTACATTATTTGGGTGCTGGAAAAAAATGGCTCATCAGTTCAGCACACTGGCTGCTCTTCCACAGGACCCAGGTTCAGTTCCCAGCACCCACATGGCAGCTCACAACTCTCTGCAACTCCAGTTTTTGGGATCCAATGTGCTCTTCTGGCCTCCATGGATACAAGGCACATAAATGGTGCCCATACTTACATGCAGGCAAAACACTCAAATACATAGAATAAAAATTAGTAATCTTTTTTTTTTTTAAACTCACACATCCTATTTTACTTTGTGGTATACTTTAAAAAAAGTCTGGGGATGCAGCTCAGTGGTAGAACACTGGTAAGACCATAGGTGTGATTCTCAGCAACACACACAAACACACACACACACACACACACACTACTGGATACTAACCTACTAAGCATTAGCAAACTAGAATGCAGCTTGCTTTTATCAATTAGCCTTTCTCAGAAGGTATTCTGATAATTTTCGGTTTCAAAGAGAAGAGTTGTGGGCTGGTAAGATCGCTCACCTGGTAAAAGAGCACTTGCCACCAGGCCTTACAACCCACGTTCAAACCCTGGAACCCACATGATAGGAGGAGAAGTGACTCCTGTAAGCTGTCCCCTAACTTCCACACGTATGTACACACACCAACTCAATGTAAAAAAAAAAAAAAAAAAGTTTTAAAAAGAATAGTTGTATAGTAGAGACTATTCTTTAATTATGTATAGGACTAACACAAACAGTTAAACCCTCACAAGAATAAATGGTCTGAAATAAAATCTGTAAGATAATTCAAGGTATACTAACATTAACTTTGCTTAAAAATACTCTTTTCAGTACATTTACATGATAAGCAGGCTCTCCTTGCTCAATATTGGCATTCTCTACTTCTGACTTTTCATTGTAACAGCTTGTTATAAGACTCAGAAAGAAGCGTCTGTGGTTCTCTTTTTCCTGATATATTAGTCTGTTTCACTTCTTTCTTTTAGCACTTCCACTACCTAGACAATCTTCTGTAAATTCACTTGTCCTTTAACTGTACCCTTGAAGAACAAAGTAATGCTTACTAGCATATTTTACTGCTGCCGGAGCGATGGCTCAGCAGTTAAAAGTACTTGCTGCTCTTGCAAAGGACTTAGGTTTGATTACCAGGACCCACATGACAGCTCCTAACTGCCTGCAACTCCAGTTCCAGGGGATCTGACACCCTCTTTTGGCCTCACCAGGCATCAGACACACATGAGGTGCACATACATACATGCAAATAGAACACTCATACACATCAAAAAAATTTTTTTGTTTTTTCGAGACTGGGTCTCTCTTATGTAGCAGTCCTGCCTGTCATGGAACCAGCTTAGACCAAGCTGGCCTCTCATTAAAAACTCTTTAAAGGCATATTGCAAATACTGTTTTTAACACTGTAAACAGTAAGCACATCTCCACTACACATACTGCTTTGCCGTCCTCTCACTGTCAATACTAACTATGCTGGGCTTTCACTGGACTCCCCTGCAGAAGGAAATAAAACAAAAGCAGTATATACCTTTGGTAGATCCATAAAGCTTGGCCGGGCAGTTGAAATAAGTCCAAGTGTTTTTAGAGAGCAGTTCACAAGCTGCGATAATATATCACAAGCTGCTTCAGCTGACTCTTTGCTGCTGTCCACCTTAGAAAGAAAACACGTCTTACTCGTGTAATATATTTTATAAAAGCAAGAAATACAGTTATTAATCCAGTGCATTATCATTTAAAGGACATTCATCTTTAATCATCTCTCCTCCATAACCTCAGTCTAATTTTCACAACAGAGTTCATTATAATTCCTATGTATATTTATTTATTCACTGCTGAAAGACTAAGTTGATTTATTTCAAACAACACATGTAAGCAGTGTCTATGATGAACTGTTTCAGGGCCCCTGAAGAAACTAATGTCATTGAGAATTTTCAGATGAATCACACAATCTGAACTTCTTCAGTGTTTGGAATAGAAAGATGCATTAGAGTAAAATAAGGGTGTCCGACTAAACAAGCATCAAATAAACTGAACCAAAATAGAAGTAGCTGCTCTTATATATTCTGCTTAGATATTTCCTGAAGGATAATATGACCAAACACCAACCCCTGAAAGGGATAAAAGTTAGTTTTTCTCTAGACTAAAACTGTTAAATACCATTACTTTTATTTCCAAATAAATTTGTGTTTTACTGCATCCCACAGGACTCTTAAATGCTATCGTGTGTCAAAGTAATGTAACTAATTGTAGTTCCCAGACCACATGGAAATCACCTGAGTACTGAAGACATGCAAACTCGTATGCCTAAACCAAACCATTGTGAGTGGGACCACGCAGGCTCTGCCTTTACATCCCCCTTGGTGAGTCTACTGAACATAGTCTGAGGAGCACTTGTTGGACTAAGAACCCTGACTGTAAGTTTTATTCAGCCTATAGTGTCCACTTAACTATTATCGGGAGAGGCCAGAATAATCCTTGCAATGTGCTTGCTTTCTCAATTAGAAATTACTTCCTCAGACAAATACACCCCTAACAAAAAAGTTAAACTCAAGCACAAATGGTTTTACGAGTTACAGAAGGTGGATAGACTAAACACCAAGGACCCAGCCAACCTACTGCACAGAATGATCTTTATGATCTCCAGCATTTCTTTCTACAGCAGCTGCCATTACAACACTAAGGAAGGTCAAGGCTGACTAAAAGCCAAGGGAAAGCACTGTAGGCTTCCTCTCTGGAGGGGTGGGGAGGAGTTCCTCACTTCTGTTTGCTTGAATCTTATCCCATGTCAAACAAACAACACACTCAATTGGATTTTCAGGTAAATAAACAATAATAATAATAATAATGATGATGATGATGATGATAATTTGTACCAGTGTGTCCCATTGTCTGGGATGCATTTACACTAAAAATTATCAATGAAGTCTAGTAAACTTGAAATTAACTAGGCATCTTTTTTTTTTTTTCTTGAAATAAGGTCTAGCTAAAATCTCTGGCTAGTCTTGAATTCACTACGTAGCCCAGGCTGGTCTTAACCAGTATATCCTGTTTGGTTTATTTTTTTCGTTTCTTTTCTTTTTGGCTATAATTGGCACTCCTATTCCCAGTGACCTAGTACTTTTATGACCAGGTTACTCAGTCACTTGTTACTAAGTACTCCTATCTTAGAAGGATGATGGCATTTAGTGACAGCATGAAGGTCTGTTAAGACCACCGCTTGGTACAGATTTAATCTGGCCCCTTTAGCAAATAGCAAACAGAGGCAGATCCGGCAAGTCTATGCTTTTACTACAGTTTTGGAGGTTTTGTTTTAAACATTTTAAAGAGAGAAGGCCTCACTATATATAGCCCAGGAAGCCTCAAGTTGTTGATTCTCCTCCCTCAGACTCCCCAGTCCTAGAGTAACAGGTGTGAGTCACCACACCTGGCACGTTTTCATCTTTTAACAATAAGTATCAATTGTTAAAGAAAAAAAAATTAGTGTCAGGGATTCAGTAAGCATCCCATATATCTTTATTCATCTCCAAAATACAACTTGATAAACCCTTGTTCTCACACAAGCTACTATGATTTCATATCATACTCTTCAAATCTCAAAATGCCACCTTCCTTCATTCATCTCACCATTACATGAGTTCTTGTATGTCCCTTCTAACACTGAAATGAAGCAAACGGCTCTCTTACATTTTTCCATGCATCCTCTTCGGTTTCCCTTTAAAATGTACTCAAACTACTTAGTTTCTATACCATGTTTAGATTTAAAGTTGTTTTCTTTTATAAATAAAAATGTATCAAAATAAGAAACACTTGCTGGGGAGGGTGTATGCCTTTAATCCCAGCACTCCAGAGGCAGGTAGATCTCTTCTAGAGGCCAGCCTGGTCTACAGTGAGTTCCAGATCAGCCAGGGCTACACAGAGAAACCCTGTCTTGAAAAACAAAATGAAACAAAAGCAATACTCACTAGTAGATAAAGATAGCAAGTAAGTTCTGCTCAATAATCAGGCCCTAATGCAGTGGTTCCCAACCCTCCTAATGCTGCCACACTTTAAGTTCCTCATGTTGTGCTGACCTCCAGTGATAAAATCATTTCACTGCTACTTCCTAACTGTAATTCTGATACTGTTATGAACTGTCATACACATATCTGATAAGGAGGAATCTGATATGTGACTCCCAAAGAGGTCGCAACCCAGAGGCTGAGAACACCGCCATGATGTTTGCTACACATTTTTCTTTCCTCGAATTTGTTGCCAACCAACCGTTCATTTAAAACTTAAAACTTCGCTCAATTTATGCTTACTTAGTGGCTGCTTTTGCTCTTTTAAGTAATTAATTGTAAAGGAGTATTTTAGTTCCAGCAAATATTAAAAATTATTTGCAATGGCTTCTAAGGGTGCAATAATTTTAAAACTTCAAGCATTTTTCCTAAAAAGTCAAATATTTTAACAATATAAGAAGTTGTACTGGTTAGGACATTAAAGCCACGAAAAATGCTTTTACTTTTTAACAGAAGGAGTTAAAGTATTACCTTGAAGCTGACATACTGTAGATGGTTTGAATGCCTTTTAATAATCTGTTTGATCAGCTCTGGATGTGTAGCTTTCAAGTAAGATGTAGCTGGCTGATTCAGTTCAAATTCAAAGCATCTCCACAAGTCAGGCATGTGAAATACCTGATTCCAGTTCCGGCACACTTGTGAAGCATGGGCCCGGTCAAGAAGAGGCAAATACTTAAACACTTGGAGGATAATGTCCTGCAGGAGGTTGCCCCAGTCACAAGGTTGAGAACACTCGTGTGCAGTCCTCAGTTTCTTAGGTTCCTCTGCAGGGCCTTCTTCGGGTGAATCAAGGTCACTATCTCTTCCCCCTCGCTTCATCCTATGTAGAAAAAGCCGTCATTTTTTTCCCATCCTACTTTTAATTACAAATTCATTTTCTGTCACTGAGACGTATTTGTAGTTGGACAGTTAAACAGCAATATGCACAAAGAACTGAACCAACAATTCAAGGAGAATATAAAAATACAATGAAAAGTGCTGGTGGAGATGAATATTCTTGAGGTGATTTCAAACATTTACATTTTAACACTACTTATAACCTAAGTAAACCACAAATTTGTAACTCAAGAGTTGTAGTCAACATCTTAAAGTGACTATAAAAGAGCCTACAGTGATACTTTCCAATTTCTTCAGTTACCCAAAGATAACTATATTTGAGTTCTTAAATCTGAGGGGGACCAAGGTCCCCACAAACCTCTAGAGGATGAAAGGTAAGTAGTCAACACATCTGCACCAAATAGCCCGTGACATGTGCTACTACTGCTACACATATCCAACCTGTGCTTAATGTAAGTAAACCTGGGCTGAGAGTATAGCTCTATGTTAAAGACCTTGTCTTAAATACTCCAGACCTGTGCTCAAACTCAGCAGCATAAAATAGATTAATTAAAGCAGTCTACGTTGACTATGCGTTGTTTTAGCAGGAATGCTGTTTCTTCCCCCAACACATTTCTGTCACTCTTCCTGTCTTTTTCTTTTAAATGACACCTCCATGTCCTTTCTACACATTCTTACCCACTTTATTCCATGTGTTTCTTGGAAAGATGGTCTGCTCATGGCAAAGAGTACTATAAGCTCTAAGACCAAGCTCCCTGGGTTTAATCTTGGCCCCACTTCTCACTTGTTCTATGGCTTTGGGTCAGAGGCTTCAGTTTGTAAAACGGTGATCGTAAGATACAGGGTTCTTCTGAGGAATGAAATATTAGGGCTTTTGAAAGGAGAGCCAATTGATCTCTTGTTTAGAAAAACAGCCCAGAGTGAAAGCCATCACACACCTCAGTAGAAAAGAGTGACCCCCTCACACACACACAATGTGAAGAACAACTTTACTTTCAAATAAGGGGTCAGGGAGTGGTGGTGCAGACAAACACTGGGAAGAGCTCCACTAACTTAGTAAAATAGTTAACAATGGGCCCAAGTGGGATTACGGTTTTTTCCCCAATATGCTTTTTTTTCTTTCTACATTGCATACAATTATTTCTATTCATGATAATGTAATCAAAATTCTAAACGACACATTTTGATTTGTTAGTTGACCAAGTACATTGCACTCTACACTAACATGGACCACTTGCCGGTACTATCTAGGACCTACAATGCTTTGTTTCTAGAGAGCAGGTCTGACAAGGCACTGGTCCAAACAAGACTCAAAAGGATAGCTTGTGACTCCAACTAACTTGTGACAAGTCAGCACATCAGACTGTCTTAATCCTCTGTGCAATGAAGGATGTGCACATGGACAGACTTTCTCATCTAGTAGCTGGCAGAATCTGTGAAGGAGGACTGAGGGCTGGAGAGAGAAACAGGATAGTGGGGGCACAGTGTTCTGTCTCGTCAGTCCAGGAGGCAGTAACAGAAGAACTATCTGTTCTTCACTGCCCCACACCTGACTATTTATTCTTGAGGAGAAAGAGAGTCCAGAAAACAAAATGAGAGAGGTGACAAGATAGCTTTATGGAAGAGTCAAACTTATTTATGAATCTAAAAACAGGTTCTGTAAGTGTGTTTGGAGAAAGGTTAGAATAATCCACAGGGCCATCTTAAAAAAAAAAAAACAACTAATAAAAATGTCCCACTAGAGGTTAACCTGTCATTATGACCCATTTTCCCACTTTAACTTATCCTGAAGGTTTAACTTTAATTTTAGCATTTCAATTTGGGTCAAAGAACAAAGAGGTTGCTACCAAGGACTTAGACTTTATTACCTAAATCTACTCAGATTCAACAAAGAATGAAATAGTGCTCCTACTTCCACACAGGACGCTCTGCTGCTTCTGGAGAAATCTCCTCAAGCCAGAACTTCAAGTAGAAATAGTTCATTTTACTGTCAAGTATACACATTCAAAACCAAAACTAATGGCAGTCTTACAATAATTTAACAATACCCTGTTAATCCTCAACTTATACAATTTTTATTTGAGGCAGGATCTTGGTATGTGAGCCTGGCTGGCCTTGAAATCAGAGATCCACTGCTTCTGCCTCCCAACACAGTCCTATTCTAAATCAAGTGTATTTCAATACAGCTCCAAGTTCGGGAGGGAGTCAGAGAGGACAATATAAAATTATTCAACATTAAGGAACAGTATCCTAAATACTGTTTTTGATCTAAACATGAACTGAATACACAGATCACCAAAGTATATATTAAGTACTTAGTAGTTTATGAACAGCTAAAGTCTATGCACTGTCAAAGGCATTATGAAGTTAATGTCAAAATCTTATGAAGCAATACATAAACAAAAGGCCAAATGCTAAAATGCCCTATGTACTGTTCTCATTTAGCTGTGAAAATAACATTAGTGAATGAACACCTAACAAAATTTGAAATATCATTTTTCAAAGTTGGTTCAAAACTTCCAAAGCTTTTTAACTATCTACACATGAAGCTCTGCTGTATAGAAAGTTGAACAATTCAGAGCACTCACTAGTACACAACTCATTTACAGCAATGGTTTTTACACTGTTTACTGCCAGTGAAGTGAAAGTGCCTTTTATATTAACAGGAGGAAGGAGTGTGGCGGACCAAAACAGGTCAATAAATATCAATGGGATTTTCTAGCACAGAAAACCTGGGCTCTGGCAGTTTTGATTTATTGTGGTGTTTCAGGAACCCAAAGACTACAACCACTGCGGCAAGAATGTTTTCTGGTATTTATATCAAGTGCCAAAGAAGCAATCTAATGAAGGAAGCCTACCAACTAGTTGAGCAGCACCAGGAATTAGTGAGCTAATCAAACATCTCCATACACTGAAACCAAGAGTCCAAGTTTTCTTACTGTCTGAACACTGACATATACTGGGCATGAAGTCATCAAAAGACACTATTAGTACTTGAGCTTTCAGAGGCCGGTTCTGGCATTACATTTTTCATCATGTCCTATGTTTTGCTCTGGACAGAAGGAAACCTAACCCAGAGTCTTTGGCTGAAATACAAGAATTGAACAAAATGAAAGAGATTAACTCTCAGAACGTTGAGCGCACAGTAGGCATACAGATAACCAGGAATGGACATGTAGACAGACAGAACCAGGAGTGGGCAAACAGATAACCCGGACTGGGTTAGAGTTTAGAGTTACAGATATTTTTATAAAGAGTTCGGGGATATTTTAAAAGTTACCCTTTTCACGTAAAAAACAAACAAACTTAAAACACCTGCCTGGGCCACTGGAACAGGCACCAACAGCAACAAAGCGCCTCCCGCTCTCACCTCTGGGCTTGGCGATGCACCGACCCAGCTGCTTCCGGGTGCCGGTCTGCAGCTCAGCCTCGGCGGCTGCACCTACCTAAGTTGGCCAAGTTCTCCACTTGGCCGCTCAGCGTCGGCGCTGCCACCTCCCCGGCCTGGCTTCCTCGGACACTTTTCCTACGCCCTCCCCAGGGCCCCCGGTTATTTCCAGCCCCCGCACCCCACGCTTGCCGAGGGCGAGCCCGGCGGCGCCCGTCACCCGGCCCCGCCACACGCGGCCGCCGCGCCCGCGCGCCCGCGCGCACCACGCCTTGTTGACATGTCCTGGGGTTCCGGTCGCGCCCCGCGCGCGTCCCCCCCGGCCGCCGCCGACCTCCCCGCCCGCTCTCCGGGCTGTGGTTCCCGAACCTCCGCCGTACCTGCTGCCGGGGGCGGCTTCCCCCACACACCACCCCGGGCTGCGCGGGCGGCGGCGGCGGCGGCGGCTCTCACATGAGGCCTCCCGGGGCCTCCTCTCCGCGCTCCCGCCGTCGCGGCCCCCCGCGCTCCGCCCGCATCCGAGACGCTGGTCCCGCGGCGGGCGCCGACGCGGCTCCACCTTTGCGGCTCCGGCCGGCCGGGGACGGGGGGGGGGGTGCTGAAGCTTCCCTTCTCGGTCCCGCGCAGGCTGCGTCCTTCGCCTCGGCACCTCCTCGTCGCCGCCTGAGACGCCCTGGGCGAGCAGCAGCGGCCAACGGCAGCGGTCCGGGAAGCCTCGGCCCAGCTTCAGAACCCAAGATGGCGCCCGGGGCTCGCGGGCGCGCGCTTGGCCCCGCGCGTCTCCGCCCCAGGGGGGCGGGGCGGGGGCGCGCGGCCTCGGGGAGGGGGCGGGGCCGGGGCGGGAGCGCGCGCCGGGGCGGCCTTCAGCCTCCCGGACCGTCCCCGGAGTTTTGTTTGGGGGCGGGACGTGGGCGGGCTGGAGCCAACCAAGTGACGCTGGCTTTTCTCAGGGTTAAAATCCGAAAGTGCCGGGAGGTGGAACCCAGGCGGAAAAGGAGGGAGCGTCAACAACATGGAGACCCACCCCTCCCGGACGTAAACATCAGCTGACTTGGCGACCCACCTCCGCGGGGAGGGCGCGGCCTGGGAGTGCCTACAGCATTAATCAGCGTGGCGAACGCCACGATTACGAACGCTACGATTAAATACTTGCCTTGCCATTATTTTCCCAAGTTATTTTTTAATGATTCATAGCTTTTTCAAAACCACGTTGACATGAAGCAGAACCTTGAAGTCTGAGAATGTTTTTCTAAAACACACACGGGAAGTGTAAAGAAGCAGACAGCTAATTACAAGAAAACCCCTGGTGGAGCGTTTTGTAAATCAAGGCGTCTTTTAAATGCTACCTGTTTGACTTGTTTAAAAGTTTGGACTTGGTGAGACTGGATTTTCTCAAAATGAGAAATGTTCACTGCTGCAAAATCTTAAAAGTTGGCTGTATACCGTGCCTTCGGCTCTGTGTTACTTTTCCAAAGCAAATAACTCTACCCCTCTCCTTCTGACCTCCTCTCTCTTACCCCTCCTGTCCTCCTCCTTTTTCTCCTTTTCTTTAATCGGGGGTCTCATTTTGTAGGTTTGGCATGAGTGCAGTGCCGATGGAGTCCAGAAGGCATTTTGGATTCCTTGGAGCTGGAGTTACAGGCAGGTGTGAGCCACTAGTCCTGGGTGCTGGGAACTGAACTCAGGCCAGCTGGAAGAACAATAAGCACTCTTTTTTTTTTTTTTTTTTTGGTTTTTCCTGACAGGGTTTCTCTGTGTAGTTTTGGTGCCTGTCCTGATCTCGCTCTGTAGACCAGGCTGGCCTCAAACTCACAGAGATCTGCCTGGCTCTGCCTCCTGAGTGCTGGGATTAAAGGCAAGCGCCACCACCGCCTGGCACAGTAAGCACTCTTAACTGCTAAGCTGTCTTTTCAGCCAAAAGCACATACTTCTATTGGAAAAAACAAACAACAACAAAATAAAATTGTAGTCACAAGAACAAGTTCTGTCACACACAGTGTAAGACCATAATCATGGCAGTGTCACTATACATAACGATGATATATTGTGCATTTAAACAAACTAGAAAGGAGTTTTAATCAGAAAAAAAATGTTTGAGGAGTTAGAGTGATTAACCTGATTTAGACATTAAACAACATAAACATGAAGTGATGGGTGCTGGTGGCCGTGTCAGAGGAGCAGCAGGTGGCAATTGAAGTTCAAGGTGTCAGCCCACCAGGAGGCAACTCCATGATGGGTGAATCTTGGAGAGACAAGGCCCTGAGACCACAGACCTCGGAAGGTCTTTGCTTCTGCTGTGCCTTTACATGTTTGCTGCTGCTGTCTTTCTCTGGTATCTGGAATGGTGGGAATGGGTGTGGGGAGATCCCCACTGCCTGTAATGTAGTGTGTTTATCTCACGGAAACATCCCGGTCTACTGGGCATTTTTACCTGTGGATTATTATGAAGATGATTCTTTCCTAAGCTGTACTGTCTAATTGATGATAATAATGTTAGTTTAAATAGTTTTGATGAATTAAAATAAATACAAGGAAGTGTCACACAGCTAGAACACATGAGTTTCTTTTGAGGAGCCATATAGACTGTGGCTTAGGTTAATGGTTAAGAAAATCAACTGAGTCCTAGTTAAATTCTTTTAACCTTAATGTTGGGAGATGTGTTCACAGGTTTTGGAATGCATCACAGCTGAAACAAAGCTTTGAAAATAACTTAAACTAAGATGTTTTTGTCAAATAGCTTCGAGGTGAAAAACCCAAGAAGATAATCTAAAGTTTTAGAAAGACACATAGTTGAATGTGGAACTCTTTAAAGCCAGGGAACAAGAACAAAGCAGCCCCATTATTACCATCTGACCCACTTTCTTGCTAGGATTGGTTGATTACCAAAGAGAATGATTAATTCCTTGTACCCATTTTTGGTACATCTCAATCTCCTGATATAAAAAACTATTAATGAGTGTGGATGCACTCTAAAGATTTACAGTAGAGCTGATTCTTTTTCATATATAAAAGTTTAGGTTTGTGATTCCTTATAAGATTACCTTTCAAGATAAGTAATAAAGTAGTTGGCCCTTTTTTTGTAACTGCAAAATGCAGCCTGCCAGTAAAAGACCTGACTGAGCAAGAATAGCTTGCTTGCCTACATGGTTAATTTATAACAAGTTGCTTGGGTATGAATGTATGTGGGTTCTTGGGATAATTTGTTTTTCACCTGTAATACGTAAAATGTTTAATGATGTAAGGGATATGAAAAACATGCTGTTTTTTACTTGTATTCATTCACTTGAAAAACAGAATGTAACCACATTGTAATTTTTATATTGCCTGAAAGATTTTGCTAAGGTATATAAGCTGTAAGAGAAAGAATAGAGATAGAATTAGAGAGAGTTAAAATGGGCTAGAAGGAAAACACCCAGAATGAGAGAGCTAAAATGAGTTAAAAGGAAAATACCAAGAATGAGAGAGTTAGAAGGAAAACATCAGGAACGAGAGAAGGAATAGAGAATGCAAAAGAAGAATAAGGAAAGGGTTTGAAGGAAAACTTCAAGAGAGTGTGTGTCTTTTTCCCTGACCCTCTCCATGGCTTCCCTTTGAGCCCTGTGCTGCTGGAGGCTGGTTCCCCAGGCAGCATTGGATGCGGCTGGAGAGGTGCTCAGCACTTGAGTGCTTGTTGCTGTTGCAGAGGACACAAGTTCCCAGCACCCACATGGTAGTTCACAACCATTCATAACTCCAGTCCCAGGAGATCTGATACCCGCATGAATGTGGTGCACAGACATACACGCAAGCAAACACTCATACACATAAAATTAAACAGTAAAAATTTTAAGTGAATATATTAACTGAAATATCACATCACACCATTAGTATGTATAATTTTATGTATTAGTTAATTTCTTTAAAAAAATAAAATGAGAAATGAGAAACTCAAACTACTGAGACGAGCATCAAGATCAGTGTTGTCCTTTAGGAATATGTGCAAGGTACATGTGCAACTTAAAAGTCTGTAGAGCCACATTACAAAGTTAAGGGGAGTTGGCAAGACGGCTCAGCTGGTAAAGGCACTTGCTGCTGAGCCTGTCAATCTGATTTTATCCCTGGAAACCAAGGTAGTGATAGAGAACTGACTCCCTCTGACCTCGGCTGGAGCGCACAAGGGACACACACACACACACACACACACACACACACACACACACACACACACACACAGGTGAAGGAGAACCGGAGAGATGGCTCATTGCTTGAGAAGACACAAGTTCAGTTCCCGTCACCCACAGTGATAATTCCAGCTCCAGGGGATTTGATGCATAGACCCACATAGATAAAATCAGTTTTATTTACTTTACTTAATCCATTACATCCAAGATGTTATTTCTATGTGTAGTCAATATAAAAAAAAAAGTCATTGAACTGTTTCCTGTTTTTCTCTGTATGACTCAGTTGGCTCATCTGTAAAGTGATACTATTTTATAGGTTTGGGGACGACCAAAGCATGACAAAGCATGTCATTTTTACCCACTGCAAAATTACCAGAGGCTTGGTGGCTTAAAACAGTAAACATTTATATTTGTGCAGTTATGGAAATAAGAAATACAAAAGGGGCAAAATCAAGGTGTCAGCAGGGCAATGGTCCTTTGGAATCTGCAGAGGCGAACCTGTTTACTTATTTTCCAGGTTGCCTTGTAGGTCACCTGCGTTTTTTTATGCCTGACTTGTTCCTCCATCTTTAAGGCCAACAGTGGGTCATCACCAAGTCCTGTGTGTGCACTGCCCTTTCCTCCCTCCCTCCCTTCCTCCTCATCCCCTCACACCTCACTTGTATTCTCTGACTGATCCAATTGCTTCTTTTTCCCCCAAGTGGGACCCTTCTGATTACATGGATCACACTGGTTAATCCAGTGTAACCTCATTCAAAATCTAGGTCCTTCCATTCTCAAATCATATATTCCAAGGATCAACACCTGGCAAAATTGGGGAGGGCATTATTCTCTCCCCACACTCAGGCTTTAGCACAAAGGTTAGCTACTATAAGCCATCAATAAATAATTTATTACATTAAACTACACTTGTAGTTCTTAGTTAACAGTGTTCTTTACACATCTGTATTGGAGTTCTGTGAAAGTCTCATTCCCACGCTTAGCACAGTGCGATGCACCAATTAAGTCACACAATCCATTTAAGCACTTACGAGTAAGTCAAGGTTACTAAGCAACTGGGAACACAGTCCTGCCCTCACCGGAGTGTGTTGTTAGGTGCTGACCTGGTTGGAGCAGGTGCTCAAATATTTATTAAAGGAACCAATGAAGCCAAATAGTTTACATACACTTCTGAGGAATACTAATGTCTTGGTTCTTGCTAAATGCTTTCTGACATGCTCTCTCTCACTTTTGCTTTTTAAAACTTACTGGTTGGGTTAGGACTCTACCTGAATTTGCTTATTTTGAGAAAATGTAGGACATGCTGTTACAGAAGCTGTTTAGCTGAGAAGCTGTTCCTGGCCTTAGAGACTCTGATTACATGGCTGCTTACTGGACACTGATCTTCCAACTTAGCTTTTATTTACGGTTTTATGTAATCTATTATTGTTTTGTTGTTGTTGTTGGTGGTGGTGGTGCAGGGTCAAACCTTATACTGTCCATGTGCCCGGGAACTGTGAACTGTGTACCTGTGGAGGTCAAAGGGCAACTTGCAGAGCTTGTTTCTCACCTCCTTCTATGTACGTCCTCAGATGGAGCAGGTTACCAGGCTCGGTGGCAGGTGTCCTTACT